GTTTGAGAAGATCTTTATGACTTCGGCAAATCATCGAGTTTCACTCTGAAGTTTTCGTAGAGATTTTCTAACCGCATGGTTGCGACAAGAAATACTGTATATTGCTCGAGATTATTTTCCCGATGGTTTGGATCAGTCTTTAGCGTTTAAACGGTTCTTAGATTGTCGTTTGCTTTTGGGATGATTTTGACGAGGCGTCGCATTGTCTGAATATTTTTCTGCTTATTTTTCCGAGAGTTTGCTTTATAGAAAGCGTTTTCTTGATGCGAGGGAAAATATTCGACGAAAAGAAAAAAGATGAGTTTTCTTTGAAGGATTCGAATGATCGATAATCCGGGTTGTTTAAAGACCGTGGTGGATTGGCGATGACTTGGAGTATGTCTGATTTACGAAAAATTTCTAGAAGCGAGTCAGTTTTAAGACGACGTCAGCATCTCTAGCTCCTTCTTTCTTAGTTTCATCGATGATTTGGAACCGTCTATTCCTCGTTCTTCGTCTTTTGACTTATCGGTCTTCGACGAATTACTAACAAGAGTATCGGAGTGGGGAGAAGACTTCACCATCGGATTTCATGTTCTTGTTTCTTCGTACTGCTGGTTTTATTTAACCGACTAGGTGAGCTTTGTATATCGAAAAATCAATCACGTGTTTATGATCGGATGTTTTCGACTTTGCATGGTAGAATTTTGTAAAACCGGATTATGTTTAGAGAGTTCAGATTTCTCGTGTAGTTTAGGCAACTTTGGTGTTAAGTCAACCGTTGCCGTTTTAGACGATTGATTCGAACTTATACGAAGAAACAAGTCTTTGCAGTTTTATCGTAAAATCTCGATGGAAATTCTGATTAAGAGGAAACGAGAATCAGCGCGATCAAGACTCGAGAGAGAAACTCGAGGATTGGTTCAGCTCGACATAGGGCGAGTCGGGTGAACCCTTTCAGCTTGCCGTGTGGCGATCTGGATGGTAAGGACCCTTGGGGCAAAGTCAGCGCCTCTTGGGCGAGCTAGGCGCTTGGTTCAGCTCGCCGTATGGCGAGCTAGCAAGCTCGACGTCTGGCGAGCTAGTCCTGAACGGTTCAGCTCGCCGTACGGCGAGCTAGTTCAGCTTGGCCAGGTCTCCGTTCGGCGAGCTAAGCCAGCTTGGTTTAGCTCTACGTTCGGCGAGTTAAGCCAGCTTGGTTTAGCTCTACGTTCGGCGAGCTAAGCCAGCTTGGTTTACCTCTACGTTCGGTGAGCTAAGATGCTTGGTTTAGCTCTACGTTCGGCGAGCTAAGCCAGCCTGGTTTAGCTCTACGTTCGGCGAGCTAAGATGATTAGCGCAGGTGATCTCGATTCGTCGAGTTGACTTGTTTTCGTCGTAGAATCTCAACGAAAAGTCCGATTGAGACGAAACGAAAAGTTGTACGATCGAGATTGGAATAGGATCAGGCTTGGGATCCCAAGAATCGTGTCCACCTCGCCATTGGGCGAGCTAGTAAAACCTTCACACGTTGAAGATTTCTCCGATTTGGTTACGGGGTTTGATTGGTTTTATCGTTTCCCTTTTGTTTAGACGGAGAAATCACGAGCTCGTTTCGTGCTCCTTCCATAGTGAAGAGTCGCGATTAAGTTTTCAATTTTATTAATTACTACAGCGTTTGCGTGAGCGTTAGCTATAGGAGCAGTCGCTGCTAGAGTTGTTTTACCAGCGTTTTTGCGACTTGCGACTTTGTCTTTCATATATCCAGACATCGTTTTGATCAAGCGTTTTGCGGCTATGAGTAAGAGTAATCCGACCCCTCCTCCTTCTAGCGCCAAACTGTGGGAACCGAAATTCACCCTTGTCGATTTCTGTTAAATAAGGAAAATTAGGAAAACCCTAATTTTCCAGAGGAACCGGATCTCTGCGAAAGCCAACGACAAGTAACCAAATAAATGCAGAAAAATATGAAAAACGTAATAAAACGAATTCGTAGAGAAAGTCAATCTTATTTCCGATTCGCGTATGAGCGTTGCGATCATTACAGGGAATTATAAAGGCTTTGGCCGAAAGGGCCATCAGCGAGTTACCAACATAAAACCCTAAATCTAGTTGAGTCGCAGCTCGATAACGAAGACGGAAAAAGATAAGAAAAAGGGGTTTGATTGATTTCGAACTGAACCTTATGAAAGGCTGCCTACGTACCCCTTTCAAGGATCAAGTCGAATGTAGTTCAGTTGGTAGAGCTGTACAAGAGATCAAACTGCCTAGGCGAGTTCGTCTCGTGATTGAGCGCCAGTCATAGAAACCGAACTTGTCGAGAATAAAGCCTAAGTTTCTAAGTGTGGAAAATTCTAAGTCTAGAAAAATTGTAAAAGTCTCAGATGAGAGCTCTAGAATTCGTCCTCCTGCTTTTTCCCTATGCCTCTTGCTTATATACCCCCTTCCTAGGCGGTTTTTACGATTTTTACGAAAAATCTCGAATAAATCGTATAGTTTAGGCAATGTTCGGTGTTTCGTTTAACCGTTGCCGTTTTATACGATTTCCTCGAGTTCTTCTTGAGTATACAAAGTTTTACGGTTTTGATCGTAAAACTCGAACAATATGACGGATCGAGACGAAACGGGAGACATTTCGACCGTGGTTCGGAACACGATTGTGTCGAAGGACATAAGCCTTGAATCGGGGGTTGTGGGAGATCGAGGCTCGGGACAGTCAGTTCAACGTACGGCGAGCTGCCCGAGAAGCTTCTAGCTCTCCGTTCAGCGAGCTAGTTGGGACGGGACTAGCTCGCCAAACGGTGAGCTAGTCGGGACGAGACTAGCTCGCCGTTTGTCAGGACTAGATCGCGTTTTACGGCGGTTTTGTGCTTAACTCGGACGAACGTGTAATCGACGTTTGTTTCGTTTTTCCGAGATAACGACTTCCAAGTATTCCGCGGATTTCTTTTAGAGTTTTATAAATCGACTTCTCGAGTTTTATAAAACGATTTCTCGAGTCTTATAAAACGATTTCTCGAGTTTTATAAAATGATTTCTCGAGTTTTATAAACTGATTCTTTGAGTTTTACAAAACGATTTCTCGAGTTTTATACTAGAATTTTATAAAACAGCTTCTCGAGTTTTATAAAAAAATTCCTCGATTTCTAGAGTTTTATAAAACGATTTCTCGATTTTTATAAAACGATCTCTCGAGTTTTATAAAACGGAAACTTCTTTTATAAAACGATTTCTCGAGTTTTATAAAACGATCTCTCGAGTTTTATAAAACGTATTTTTATTTTTACTTTTGCGGAGACTTTTAGTCATTGATTCCGTCGTGACCGATTTTGACACCAACATGTATTTTATATGAATGTTTTAATCTATTAAATAAAGTTACTAAAAGATTTATTATTAACTTTCTACTATTTAGATTTCTACCTATTGGAAATTAGAGATATATATCAAGAATATCTTGTAGATCACTTCTATCGAATATATACATTGTAACATTGTTTATCACAACTCAAGAAAGTGTACAAGATTTCATGGTATCAGAGCTTTAAATCCTTTGACCTCAAAATACTTTGAAATCAAGCCATCGCCTCCGTCGTTGTCACCACCACCGTTGTTTAAAGAACAACACCACTTTGATGGTGATTGTCGTGTATTCCTTCTAAGCGGATTTCAATATGTTTGGTTGGAACGATAGTATTATACAGATTTTCAGGGTTCCTTGGATGAAACCGACTTATTTGATCGAACAACTAAGGTCCGATCTTTCGGTTTTTGGTATAGTATCGTCATCTAAATGATGATGTTTTTTCAGTCTGATGAGTAATCGAGGAATGGGCTGGGAGTCACATGAAATGTGTCTATTTTCTTGATTCCAAAACTTGGATCGGGTTCTTAGTAAGGATGCTTTTTGTTTTCTTCCCCATAGATAGTACCAAAATGTAGATTCTAAAATCTATACTAAGTACTTGAGAGTGTTCGTATTTGTAAATTAGGGAATAAAGAAATAGGGCACAAAATCTTGAGAACAACAATGTTGTAAAGAGGTCTGAATTGATAAAAATGGATTATATTGATGATTATTAGGTTAAGAGATCAAAAGTTGAGAACAAGAACAAAATATAGACTACGAACAATAGACTATAGGAGAGGTCGATGTGTTAAATGTCTAAGAGTTTGTATGCAGGTGTGGATATCCCCCAATATCCTGCTTCTTTGCTTCTCTCCTCTTCTTATACTCGTCACTGTGTCCTCTGAGATCTCTTCTACCCGATCAGGATAATCTTGGGACTTCCTCCACTCTCTCGAGACCGAGTCAAAGTCTATTACTATTATTGAGCGCAAGCCTTTGTCGCTATTTCTGACCCTTCTGTGTGATTCAAGGCCCATTTGCATGTTTCAAGGCCCATCAATTCAGGCCTTGATCCCAATGCTAGATTAGGGCCCAACAATACCACCGACACTTTATCGATTGTCTTATTGATTATTTGGTCGATCTCTTCCTTCCTCGTTAGCATCGGAAGCAGACAATCCATCTCTCCCTCTCTCTAGATGATTTCCAATTTGTCTCGATTCTTATCCAACCCAGCTCAAAATATATTTTTGGTTCTTAGGTTTTTTTTTCCTGATATTCAAACCGGTTTTCCCCAAATTAACCAAAAATCTGAAATAACCAAAAAAATTAAATTTAACTGAAATAAATTTTTTTGAATATACTCATTTTAAAAATTTATTTTCCTAAACTGAACCGATTAATTAAAAAATTAAATTCCTCAAAACTGAATCAAACTGACTTTTGTACAATGACAAAAACTCATACATATTATTTTGAAATGTCAGGTTGCAGCGTTTGCATCTGAATTTGGTGATTTTGGAGTAGAGATCGTATATAACACATTAGTTACCAAGCCTTTGCATTTGTTACAGAAATCCAAGTAGTTACGACATGAACTGTGTTTAAAAGACGTCTTATTTGGTGAAGGATTCAAATGTGTGTTTTGGCCAGAAGAGTAGTAATCTCTCTATTTAGGCAGACAACAATCATTTCAGTTTTCAATAATTCTATCCTTGGAGAATTTAACAGCCTCGATTACAGCAGAGAAGTCCAGATCTCCAAGTCCCATGCTTCTTGCTTTCTTAAAGGCCTGTCCAAGAAAAGTACATGTCTTTCAAGATCCATGATGCCAACAATCAATAATATTATTGGTCTCTGAGTAAGTAACTGACCTCATTTGCGGCCGCAGCTACAAGCATGGAAACAGCGTTTTCATCGCCAAGAGCAAGTGCTAGCCTCATGTCCTTCTGCTGATGTTTTAACGGAAACGCTGGTGGGTAACTACTCTTATTCATCGAAGGTCCCTTCCCTTTGAACATTAGGATTAGCCATTACACCAAGATCCTGCCCCAATAACGCACAACACACACCGTTACAACATTAACATACATATCTCACACAAAAGTTCTGAACATATGTATCTCACCAGAATATCAAGAAGTGTGTGAGAGCTGAGTCCACTCTTATCAGCTAATACAAGCCCCTCGGAGAACGCGTTTGATTGAGGTGAAAATGGTCAAGAACAATATAAAGAGAGAGATTGGGGCGAACAAAGACCCTCTTTATTAGATTTAAACAAGAGATTACAAGGAGGTGACTAAAGAGGCGATCTAGCCGGAGCTCGGAGAGCAGACCGGAAGACTACAAAGTGGTGAGTAACGGTGAAGGTAAGCAAACCCTAGATCTAACCACCTAGTCTCTATGAAACCCTAGATCTAGCCGCTTAGTGAGTATGTCGAAGTCCGGATCCCCTTCTCCTTGTTACCTTTCTCCTTTTTATAGACCTTATTTTCGTGTTCGCCCTAGTTTACCCGAGCCTTGTTGGGCTTTATCCTTGTTGGGCTTATTTAGTAGTCCGGGTAAATCGTACTTCCGCCGACTCTTCCAGAATACTCTGAGTCGCGCTACTAGACACGTCCTCGTGCTGAGGCGTTTCTTATCTGTTTAATTGGCCGAGTATACTGTCGTGATGGGCTAAGTTTCTCCATTTGATGGGCCTTGTGGAGGGGTGTAACCCATCTCCTACAATAAGTCCCCCCCCCCCAATTTCACTTATGAGTTCATAGGACTCTAAATTAATTTGTGGGTCAGGTTTGATCAAATAGGGAATCTAGCATGGATGCGCGTTTAGGCGTCACCCTGAGCGTGTCTAGTAGCGCGGCTAGGACGTCAACCACGAGCGCGTTTAGGCGTCACCTTGAGCTCGTCTAGTAGCGCGACTAAGTCATCGCCTGTGAGAGCGCGTATAGGCGATCACCTTGAGTGTGTCTAGTAGCGCGACTAAGTCGTCGTCTTTGAGCAAGTTTAGGCATCACCTCAAGCTCGTCTAGTAGCGCGGCTAGAATGTCATCTTTGAACGCGTTTTAGGCGTCACCTTGAGCGTGTCTAGTAGTGCGGCTAGGACGTCATCCACGAGCGCGTTTAAGCGTCACCTTGAGCTCGTCTGGTAGCTCGACTAAGTCGTCGACTGTGAGAGCGCGTTTAGGCGATCACCTTTGAGCGCTTCTAATCGCGCGGCTAGGATGTCATCTTTTGGCGCGTTTAGGCGTCACCTTGAGCTCGTCTAGTAGCGCGACTAAGTCGTCGCCTGTGAGAGCGCGTTTAGGCGATCACCTCGAGCGCGTCTAGTAGCGCGGCTAGGATGTCATCTTTGAGCGCGTTTAGGCGTCACCTTGAGCTCGTCTAGTAGCGCGACTAAGTCGTCGCCTGTGAGTGCGTGTTTAGGCATCGCCTTGAGCTCGTCTAGTCGCGCGACTAAGTCGTTGCTTGTGGAGTAACAATTAACTCGAGTAGATCAACCGAGCTGATCGCTACTTGACCTAGCCGACCTAGACGACCAGTTGAGATGCACGTTTAGCCTCTAACCGCTTTCTGGTTTAATCTCAGCTGCTTCTCGATTTAGCTTCGGTTTAATTTCGGTTCGAGTAAACCGGTTCTAAGGGAAAACCAGACCGAAACAGGTGAAGGATTAAGAGATTTCGAATAATCTTCTGGGTTTCTGCAGTTGATGGGCTTATTTAGGCCCGTTTAAGTGCATTAATTGCACTTAGAGAATCGTGCCTTAGGACTTTGCTATAAATAGGTAGATTCTCTTCTTCTTTCATGATTCTTCTCTGCAAGTTCAGGTACTTTCTTCTCTCCCTTCTCTCTACCTTTTAACTTTCTCTCTCTAAGTGTTCTCCGACTTCTTGCCTTGTATTTTCCCGTTTTGGGTTATGGCTTCCTTGGGGCGGTTATCGCGTGAGGAAAAAGGCAAAGGGATTGCCTGTGCGACGGGTCAAACCGATGATGTTACATAGAATGGGAGTCCAATAGAGGATTTTAACCTGATTCATCGCGACGCTCTGCGAGGGGAGCGGCTCGAGCCGCATAGAGATTTAGCCGCGGAACTAGAGAGTGAGGAGGGCGATTCAGCCGCCGAAATAGAGAGTGAAGAGGGCGATTCAAGTCGCTCGGGTAGCGAGTCCGATCGGGAGGATGCCGAAGATTCCGGCCCCGATGAGGATGGTGAGGATTTAGCGTCTCCGGATCAGAGCCCTCGAACCTTGTGGTTAAGACATCGAATCGCTAGATTTGATTTGATCGAATGCAGGCCGACCATTCATCGTCTCGATGGCACCTTCGAGGAGCTAAAGGCCAACGCTGCGAGATCGCTGCGAGATCCTTGGGCTGAAGGCCAACGTTGGGAGAATGTTTTCGGGACTCGATCTAGCCACGGAACCGTGAGAAGCATTCTGGAATATGCCCGAGGAGCGGGCGTGACTTACGTGATTCCTTCCCAGGAGCAGAGGCCTTGGTCCCCTCCGGTCGGCTTCCAGTGTCTATATGAGTCGTACTTCGAGGATGATTCGAAGCTCTGGTTTCCAATTCCACGTTTGATCTCCGCGTATGCGAGGAGGCGGGGAGTAGCGATCAGCCAGCTAAAGATTGGCTCGATTCGGAACGCTGTTATGCTGATGGTGATGGCTGTGGAGATAGATGTTCCCATGAGCGTGAGAGTATTCGAAGAGTTGACTTCTACGAAGGCGGAAAAGGGGGACTTGTTCTCAGTGAAGATGCGTCCGAGTTACAACGTCTTGACTGGTCAGCCCCGCAAGACAACGACCTGGCAGCATTCGTACTTCTATGCCAAAGCTGATAAATACGCGTTTGCAGAAGCCATTGAAGATGACTTTCCGGTGTTATGAAACAAAGAAATTGGTAGAAAACGAGCATCGTGTTGTCTGCTATGTTCGTCGGTCGCCTAACCTTGCCTTTTATCTTTTGCAGGTCGTCATCCAAATACAATCGCTTATCTAGAGAATTTCTTCGAGATCGCGCAGGCTATTGCGACTCAAAGCCATCTGAATTGGCCGGACCTGAGTCTGGAGTGGATTCGTCGACAACAGGCTCGCATAGCGAGAGGTAGACTTTCTTCTTTGACCTTTGGTTCTGGCTGACAGACTAACGGTTGTCTTTCTTTCTTCTGTTTTGCAGTTGATTGGGAATCGAGACAGCCGCTGGTGGTCTCGGCACGTAAATCTCGTCTATCTTTATTCACCAGGAAACAGCAGAGGCTACTTAGGCAGGCGAGAGAGATGTCAGGAAGACCAGATTTAAGCGCTCTGCTTAAGGGAAAACTTCAATTGCTGAAGAAGACGACTTCTAGGGTTGCACCGGCTGGGGATAACGATGCTGAAGCTTCTCAGCAACTTGATCCAAACCCGACCGATCAGTCTGCCGATGTTGATCCGCCGGCTCCTGAAGCGAAGAAGAAGAAAAAGCGGAAGAGCCCCGCGATGAAGAAAGTACGGTCATCGACAGAGGCTACTCCTCTCGAAGGGCATTCGGATGGTTTGGAGGTAGGGGAGAAGGAGAAGGGAAAGAGATCGCGCGAAAATTCCGTCGATGGCGGTCCTACCAGGAATGATCCTGAAGAAAAAGGTTCGGGAGAAAGTCCGAAGAAGAAAAAGAAGAAGAAAGTTGCTAAGGAGGTCTTGCGGTCTCTAAGTCCTGAATCCCGTCCTTTGGACGCTAAGGGACCGGCGAACGTTGATTATGAGACTGAAGCGCGTAACCAGTCGGTAGATCCTTCTCCAACCGATATCCTTGAGAAAAGGAAATCTCCCACTCGGATGAGCCGATCGGAAGGTTCGCTTGGTAAGAGACCCCGGGTCGAGTTCACGGACCGCGTGAACTTCTCGTATGATGAAAAGACTCCTTTGATACATAACCCGGACCGGTGCGCGGAGCTTACTCGACAGATCCGAGGCGGGCCAGTTGAGATGCCTCAGGTCGGAGATCTTTTCTTTAAAGACGAGTACACGGAAGCTGCGCTGGCGAACAGACGGGTATGTGCTTTGATCGAAGTTTTGATGGTTGTAGTTGCATCTTCATCCCCCTCAAAACCGATATCTTTACGTTTGTTTGTTTGCTTTCAGGCCGATCGGAGTATGAACGTACTCGTCGAGAAGTACGATAGGACTTTGAGGCAGACGATGGTTCTACTTGGAAATGCAGAAAAGCTTTCCCGCACAAGACTCGGCATTATCGAACAGATCAAGGCCGACAACAAGAAGGATAAAGAGATCCTTCGCGAGAAGTTTGCGGGGTTCGAGAAAATACTCAAAGCCGACCGTGCCGCGAAGAATTTGCTTGCACGGGAGAAAGCGAGTCTCGAGAAAGCCAACGCTGCACTGGAGCAAGAGAAGGCGGAGCTTCAGGCGGAAAGGGATGCTGTGACGCAAAAGCTGATCGATGAAAGGCAGCGCCTGCGGGACTCGCGAAGCCAGGAGGTTACGCGCGAGAGGGTGCGTGTTGAGGCGGCTATGACCGACAAGGCTAACCGTTGCATCGATCGTGTCCGGGCTTACCTCGAACATCGTAGCCTCGTCGATCGGGAGCAAAGTTTGTTGGATCAGGCTTCTGGGACAAAGAAATGTCTCGAGATGATCCAGGAAGAAAAGGTGGGTATCACGCAAGAACTGATTGACATCTTCGGCGGTCAAGAGAAGGAGCATGAAGCCAACGTTGCTAAACTGAAAGTAGCTCCTTTATCCGATGCTGATCTCACCCTTTCGCCACTGGTTCTCCCTTCTAGGTTTGTGAATGAGGAGTTCGCGGCTACGCTCGATCTGTACGGGTCGAATTATGACTTGGTTAGATCAGAGACGGCCTCGCAGCTCCGGACGTCATGCAAAGCTCTTGGAAACGAATGAACCGGTCAGTCGCAGGAGATTCCAACCGATGTGGTTCCGTCTCGAAAAGAGGGCGACGATGGGATGGAAGAGCCGTCGAAAGGGCAAGAGGAGTCAGACTTTGCTGAGAAGCTTGCTTCTCC